AAGCTTAAAGTTCCTTACTGCAGGTCCACACGCGGCAGGCAGGCTCCCCAGTCGACTCCGCCTACTCCTCTCGCAGAGCAGGATTACTGGCGTCGACGGCAAGGACTTCCGGGATTGATTTATCGCGTTTAGACAAGACATGATAAATCGATCCCAGAAGATCGATTGCTTGCCGCCGAACCAGCCGGTAAGTATAGACGTACCCTTAGGAAACTGTCATATGCATACTTGAAATTTTAAAAAGGCATTGAAGGATTTGTGGGCCAAATCCTGAACTATTGGCTCAATCCTTGCTCATACAAACTCTCATTGGACCACATTGCCTTCATTGGAGTTACACCTATATCTAAGGTCCTGATCAAAAGCCCATTGAAGTCAATGGGGGACTTTTGCGGACTTCAGATCAAGACCTAAGAGCAGAAATTGGCCCACAGACTTTAGTGGGAGTTTACCCTAATAAGGAGTTCAGGATTTTGCTCTGTATGTTAAAAGCAGACAGATCTTGCAACTGTAATAGAGAGTGATATTTATTATTTTGCCGTGCAATTTGATTTTTAAAGCCTGGAGCCGGACGAAGCAATTTGATAATCTGAATTAATGTTATGCTCATTATAAAACAGTAATTTTAAAGAGCTTTTCCCGCTCTCACCCTTAGGCAGAAGAAGAGAGAGATGATATGGAGAGAGTAAAGCTGGATAATAAAAGAATTCTCTTCAATCTCTTGCCAGCACATGTTGCACAGCACTTTCTTATGTCTAACCCTAGGAACATGGTAAGGCTATGGGGGGGAAAATAAGCACGTAATGATATGCATGATTTTTTGTGTGACATCCAGGTCAGGGAAATTATATATTTTCTTAAAAGCTTGAAACATTTACATTTCATACACATTAAATTGAATAGTTCTGGTAAAAGCCATTGTCAGATGTCAGTTCAGGGTTAGTTTCGCTTTCTCGGTAGCATTCACCTTTTCTGAAGGACTTAAGTACAATACCGTTCAGGTGAATGCAGTGTCATTCCGCATCAATGCAGTTGAGTGCCTACATGCAAATAACCAATTTCTTTTCCAATCAAGTCAAAAGATCGGAGTTTATTACAGTCTTCCACTGAGATCAGTTTGGTTCTGAATAGAATATAGTGTGACATGGCAGATGCTTCCAGTTGAGCCACTCAAGGTTCTTGAAATGTGCCTCATTTACAAAAACAGAAATTTAAAAGTCAAAATAAGGAATTCTACACACTCTAGAAGGACGCAGTAACTTTGAGTGTGAAAACTAATCTTAAAGCTTGGGCAAGGGAACAAACTGCTACAGGATAGCGTGGAATCATGATAATTGGGAATACTTGAGATTAGAATAATAATTAATAATAATTAATATCTAGGCACCTATTTTTTAAAGGAAGAGTGTGGGAGTAATTAAATCCTGTAGTAATGCAGGGGATGGACCAGTTGACCAACTAATGACACTATGAATTATTACTGTTATTGCTAGTGTTGCAATAGCACCTAGAAGGCCCAGTCTGAGGTCAGCATCCCATTATGCTAGGTAGTAAATGTGAAATTCATAAAAATGTTTAGGGTTACCTTATGGTTGCCCCGATGCAGCTTTCATGGCGGTGGAGGGGAATTGTGCAGAGAGTTCCTTACCCACCTCCCACACCTCCATTGCACATCTGTAGGTAAATGTGGGTGTAGGGGAAGGTGCTAAAGCTACGGGCAGAACTAATGGACCCAGCTTGGCCATTAGTTATGGCCCAGTGTGAGGGTAAGTCCAAGGCCCTGCCCTTCCCCATCCCAGACGGCTGCACCGCTGGGCTCATACTGCACACATTGACTAAATGGAAAAAGGAGCAGCTCTCCCACAGGCACCAGTGCTCCAGCAATACTTCTGCTGCCTATCCCCCGTCTGGCCCAGCCTCAGGAGAGGCATGATTGAGCTCTTGTAATTATTTGTTGTATGAACGCAATGCACGCGTGGACTGTATTTATGTCTCACAGTAAAAAGATGGTGGAGCAAATAAATAGATACAACCCTATAGATCTTCCCAGCTCAAAGCCTCAATACTGTGGTTGTGTGTTGAGTGAAGGACTTGGCTCTATATGTAATATCTTTTAACAGGAGGAAGTTGTCCCTTCCTCCCTTGGCCTGCTCCGTGGTAGCAAAGCCACTCTGTAGTGGCTACAGCGTCTTCAGTGCTGCAGTAGCCCGTACAGCCACCGTTGCTCCTCTTTCACAGGCAAGAATAGCCAGTGAACCTGCACAGTCTTTCTTTGCTTTTATCACGCACCTTGCTTCAAGCTCCCATCTCTCAAGCATGCAACCTTCTAGGAGTTCTGTAAATCCAAAATTACACTGCTTGTGCTGCATCTCAGCCCTCTACACCTCCCAGGGGAAGGGGTGGAAAATGAGGCAGGACATGTCATAGGAAATAAAACAACGTTCTATGACCTGTTTCATTTATAGGACAGAGCTTGGTAAACATTATGGAATTTCTCTTTAACAGAAGTAAATCTGAGCTCAAGAAATCACAAGGATGATACTGCCTGTTTATGTCAAATTCTAATTTTAAAAACCCATATAATTCAAAAATTGCAGGACCTTTATTACCAGTCATATTCACAAGTGGGAGTGATGTTTGCTTCCATCCCAAATTTCAACGATTTCTACATTGAACTGGATGGCAATAACATGGGAGTGGAGTGTTTACGCCTCTTAAATGAAATTATTGCTGATTTTGATGAGGTAAGGTCTAAACTCTCTGTCATTTGATCTTACTGAGTCCACCAGACTTCTGCCAATTCAAGATTATTTGTGGAAAATTCCTCTTAGTTTGGCTATCTAATAATGCGACTCTGTAAACATCTGATTTCAGTGGGAGTTAGGAATCTAGGTGCTTTTGTAGATCCCATTAGGCACCCATATGCCTCTATACATGCTTAAATATTTCATAAAATCTGGCCCAAAATACCCTTAAAAACATTTATGTCTGATGCGGCTCCCACAGAAGTCACTGAGAATATTTCCACTGCCTTGAATGGGAACAAGACTGGGCTTATAAAGACTGAAGTGGTTTATCAACTTTAATATGCACATATTATCTGATAGCTATGGTTTGTTGCCTAAAATATTATGTAATGTTTAACAGTTTTATGTTTTAAACAAAGCTTCTGGACAAAGAATGTTATAAGGACATAGAAAAGATCAAGACAATTGGCAGTACATATATGGCAGCTGTAGGACTTGTACCAACTACAGGAACTAAGGTAAGCTGGTCACACAGTAAAACGAAAGACTCTGTGTACTCCATGTGCAAATGATGTTAATTCAGTCTCCAACTGAACAACTAAACACCATCAGTCGTAAAAATATGGCTAGAAATAGAACTGATAACAGTTTGATTTCTTTGCAACAATTGAACCTTCTTTTACATCTGAAAAACAAACAATAACTTCAGACTCTAGAGATACAATGCGAGCATGGTGTGCTGAGCATTACTCTCACATGGTTAAGACTTGGGGCTTGATTCTGTGCTCCTCTGCACCTTATGGAGTTATCTTCACCAGTGCAAATTAAGTGTGAAAGCTACCCAAGCAGAATGGAAGTGTTTTACACCCACTTTGTACTCGTATCAGCTCCATAAGTGCAACAGAGAAGCAGGAAGTCCTGCAGTGACCGTTCCACCAGAATATAACTTAAGGTTTGTTTGTTTGTTTGTTAAAGAGTCTGAGGCCAAATGTAGACATTGGTCTACATTTCCAGCCAAAAACCCAGAAACAGGGAGGGTAACTCAGGTATGATAGTTGAACGGCCATTCTCGTTCCTCCAAAACCTATCCATTTCCATCCTTCCCCTCATCCTTTCTCTAGCCCCAACCCCAGAGTTAAACTTTTTTTCCTTTTTAAATTTTAAATGACTTCAGAGCCATCTAGTTCTAAGCACAGTTCTGAGCATCTGCCCATGTGCACAGTTAGCCTGTGTAACCATGTGAACTTATTACAGCTACCCTTGTCCTCGCCCCTCCGCTTTTTCCTCGTATTATTTATTGTCTTATTTTAAATTACACTGTACGTTTTTTGGGGCAGGGATCATGGTTTTCCAAGTGTTTGTACAGAAGCTAGCACAATGAGGGATCCTTTGGGCACTAACCTAGTATAAATCAGAATAATCACAGCAAGTCTGGAGTTGGACTTCTATATCCGAGACCATGGTCAATGCATTTTAGCATGTACCCCCTAATTTGTCCATGCCTGATCTGATGTCCATGTCCATGAATCACAGAGGCACCCTTGAGTGAGCTGAAATAGAATTGCAGAATAACAGTGCACTGGAGGGCAAAAGGGCTAGAACGAGCCATGAACTTTTCAAGGAGACAATTAACCTTGTTAAATAAATAAAAAACAAGGCTACAGCTGAATCAATTATTGGGATCAGTTTTGGAATATATCCCACATAATGAATATTCTGTGATTGTAGGATGCCTCTGATGCTTTTTTGCCATTCCTAATTCTCTTTATTTCTGTGCTACTGTTAAACGAACGTAAATCCAAACCTACAGAGATGTATTTTTAAAATACTTGTGTGTGGTAAAATTGTTGACTCTAATTGAGGTCCTGAGACAGGCAAAAATTGATCACTTGAATTTTGTATCAGTGTGATCTCAGGCAAACAAGCAGAGGCATATCAGTATGTCTGGTATAAATGCTCTTTGAACTAGAATCCCCAAAACAAGTGTGTTATTGGGTAACTCCAGCAGTGTATGTTCCAAAAGCTAAATATGTTTATCTCATGTATTGTATATTTGCTAGCAGAGGAGTCATTTGAATTAGTCCAGTACTGAAAATATTCACTCAAACGTCTATAGTAGAGATTTGAAGACCGGGGTCTTAGGCAGAACCTGAACTTGAGGAAAAAAAATACAAAGCCCAAGATGAGCAAACAAGGACAGAGGCGGAAAATGCCACTCAAAGCACAAACTCTGCTAAATAACAGAACAAATAAAGAAAAAGTAACTAAAGACTAAGAGAAAAGATAAAGAAAGTAAGGTATACACAGGCACAATGGTTAAAATCATATAGAAATTCTCTTCAAAAATATCCTCATTATTTTTCCATAAAAACAGAGACCGTAAAGGCCAAAATTTTGGACAATGAGCTAGATTTTCAGTTCTGTTCTGCTCCCTTTGTGTTGTTCATGTGGTACAAAGAGAGTAGAAACTCCCTGGATATCACCTTATGGAGATTTCCTGGTATGAAGAAGTCCTCATCCGGCATAGGTGTAGCCAGCCTTTTATGTCCCTCCTCTTCCTCTCATTTTATCCAGTACTAGAGATGTGGAAGGAACACAGCCAGAGCTCTGGCAAACCCCATTTGGCATATGGTCTCTTAAGGATCATTGCCAGCTGATGTAAGTTAGTGCAACCTCTAGGAAGCTCTCACCTACCTGGGGTCCAAGGTGGAACCAAGCACAGAATCAGGCTCCCTGACATTTACCCATCTCCTCTATGCCGAGTGGATCTCAACTGCAACAGAAAATCTGACCCAGCCTTTAATTTTGCACTTCCAGGTTTGTGCCTAAAATAGATTGTGGTCACATCATTGTGGGTGCAGATAATTCTAAATCAGAGGTGTTAGACATTTGACTATCTGATGCACCCATAAATTGAGTAGCTAGATGTCTAAATCTTTTTTGTTCTTCTTTGAGTAGTGTCCCTATGGGAACTCCATGTGTCGTGATGTGCATGTGCTCATTCACTCTTAATCAGAGACTTTCATCAGGAGCATCTGTAGATCCGTGCCTGCGCGCTAGACACCCTTGTGCCCTGATACTGTGGGAATATAGGGCGAAGCAGTCTCACTGCCACTCTAGTTCCTTCTCAACCGCCTGCAGCTTCAGATGGAGCATCACGGTATCCATTAGCCAGCCATGTGCCTGGCTATACCTCACTTTATTTATCTTTTATCTTAGTCTTTAGTTTTCTTTATTTGTTCTGTTATTTAGCGGAGTTTGTGTTCTGAGCAGCATTTTCCACCTCTGTCCTTGTTTGCCCATCTTGGGTTTTGTATTTTTTTCCTCAAGTTCAGGTTCTGCCTAAGACCCCGGGCTTCAAACCCTGCCAGCAACAGACATTCAACAGAGAGACTCACATCCACTCCAAATATAAGATCTGCTTAGGATTTAAAAGCAGATCTAAAAAACGGAGGGGGGTCAGATTTAAATTCCTGCCTATGGAGCACTCTCTGAGATCACAGGGTCCAAATCACCCAGATTTACTAAGAAAGTTGGCTCTTCTACAGCAACCTCTTAGTCAGCAACAGCCTTGAAATGCCCATTTTGACCCATTGGTAAAGGGTCTCTAAACTTTTTACCCCAGATCCTATGTTGTACCTATCCCTCCACCGCCATCTTTATGAGGATCATCTCTCCCATTTCTTAACTTCCTGGGAGCTCATCACCTCAGACAGATGGTGTCAAGCAGTCTAGAGAGGCTCACAAACATGGGAGCCAAGCTCTGGGCAGACTGTCAAGAAAGAGGGCACAAACTCCAAATAGGCTGTGTGTTCTGTCATTAGATTTCATCAACCAAGTACCAAGTGTGAACTCCACAAGCACTATAAAAGCCTTAGCAGGGAGTCAGACAGTTCCCTTGGGCACTCCAGTCTGTATTGCCCCCTGACAAGCTTACCTTTGTGATAAATGGCCCCTTACACCAAAAATCACAACAATATTCAGGTTACGCACAATCCCAAAGGCTCAGTCACTCACCCCAGGTCAATTGCACCCCTGATCTCACCAAATACAAACCTTGTAAACAATCTTGTAATAAACTAACTAATTAACCAAGAAAATAAATAAGGGTTATTTACAAGGTTAAAGCAGATAAACGTACACAAAAGGTGATAGTAGCTGCTATATATGCAAGTTGTATATGTCCTTTAGTGATAACCCAAACTAAAAAAAGAACAGGAGTATTTGTGGCACCTTAGAGACTAACAAATATATTTAAGCATAAGCTTTCGTGGGCTACAATCCACTTCATCAGATGCATAGTTTTTGAGAGCTCATTATTAATCTTTCCCGGTTTGCTGTATAGGATGTTGATCAGGTGGTTTTGCAGTTTCTTTGAGAATGTGTGGCACAATCTCTCAGCACAGTTTGTGTGATATGTAGATTGTAATGGATTTTTTATCTTTAGTCCTTTTGGTATGATGTCCATCTGTTTGCATTTGGAAAGGAAGATGATGTTTGTCTGTATCTGTACGAGTTTTTTCATTAAGTTGATGGATTTCCACTCCATACGGCTAAATTCAGCGCCTTGCATAATGACAGGTTTCAGAGTAGCAGCCGTGTTAGTCTGTATCCGCAAAAATAACAGGAATACTTGTGGCACCCAAGGCCTGGTCTACACTGGGGGGATGTGGGGGGAATCGATCTAAGATACGCAGCTTCAACTACGAGAATAGAGTAGCTGAAGTCGACGTATCTTAGATCTAATTAAAATTCCCACGCCACGAGGACGCGAAATAAGTATCAACGGCTGCGGCTCCCCCATTGACTTTGTTTCCACCTCTCGCACTGCTGGAGTTCAGCAGTCGACGGGAGAGCGATCGGGGATCGATTTATCGTGTCTACACTACACGCGATAAATCAATCCCTGATAGATCAATTGCTACCTGCCGATCCGGCGGGTAGTTTAGACGTACCCTTAGAGACTAACAAACCCAAACTAAGCGGCTTGGTAATCCCTTGCTTATGCTTAGAAATATCGCCCTCTCCAAATCCCAAACAGCATAGTGATGATAATTTCTCCTTAACAGGAATTTTTATTCCCTTCCCCCAGCATTCAAGCTGAGATGGGACAAGGGCTTGTGCACATACCCTCTTCATGGATATAGGGGAAGCAATCAATAAAGTCTTATGTCCACTGATGTTCCACAATAGCTTGTCTGGTGCCTATAGGCCTTCTTTTGTTGAGGAGGAGATGACTCCTCTTGTGGTAAATTAGTATTTCACACTTGGTAATGCTTCTCTCCCGACTGTGGGGTTTTCAGACTTAGCAAACATTTTTATAGTTGCAGAGCAAACACTTAAATATTACCTTGTAACATGGAATACAGATATTATAAGTAAGATTAATACATTTAGTATCCTACAAGCATTTCATTAAGTCTAAACACTAACCACATTCTTATAACTCTAATATCTATTTTAACGCTGCTAACACACAGGTGAGCCAGACTGGTTTCCAGCTATGCATTTGTCAGTA